GTGAGCTACTCATTCACTGAGCTATTCATGTTATCTTTCTTGATGGTTTCATTGCTTCACGAAACATGTTTCAGGATAAATGGAAACGATCATAACCATCGAAATGAACAATTCCTTGGGGAAATGACGAGGCGGAGTGTACCAGCAAACGTGACTGAATACATCCCGTCAAAATAACTGAAGTACAGCGAAGCAAGCAGACTAGAAATCCACACGCTCCGAGGGCATTTTTCGGATAATATCAGTACCGGTTATATTTTGTCCGACTTTTTAAAGCTAGATATAGATAGGAAGGCGGCGGAATGAGAGTAGTTCAGCGGGAGGTGTGTTCCGTTGGTCAGGATGATTTCTTGTGACAGAGAAACAAACACTAGTAGTTCGGCAGTAACACTTCCGGTGCCACACCACCCGAGGGAAGTGCAAGTCCTGAGTTACTTTCAAGTTGCCCAAGATTAGATAGGAGGGTTAGAGATGCCGGATTTGTGCTCAAACCACAAACCTTCCGGTGGGAAGGTCCGCGCTTTAACCAATGATCTATCTCAAGCGCTGGAGTGAAAGACTGGTGGTTGTGGCAGTAGAAAACTGTTGTTCGCCGAGAAACACCAGGATTGTTCAGTAAACGAGACGGCTCACTTACAACTCATATAGGAATAGTAAAAAAATATCGTTAAACCTGAACGACCGGCTAATTTCCGAGCTACCTAGAACTACTTTTTAAACCGTACCGTACTTCTATTATTCGTCAGTGCGCCAACTCTAAACGAACCGCTATCAAAAGACGGTGCTCATGGATAGTATGACATATGACTTTTGCATGGTTCGAACACGAACTCTCCATCTCGACTTCCCCTGTTTAGGCTTAGGCAACCTGGGAGTACCCCAGCCCTTGTGCTTCCTTCTGGTGACATAGCAGTTAGACCCCGAAAAGGCGCTAGAGCTGAAAGATTTTTCGGTTCCTTATCTTTCGCGTCAGTATACAGCACTGGTCCGTTAGAAATGGAAGACATTGCTCAGTGAAGCATAGGCACCACGCGATGCAATGGTGCCAGGCGCAAGACCGTGTGTGTCAGATGCAGAGTAAATAAAAAACGTCCGTATTTGTCCACTTCGACAGCACCTGTTGCGACAATTTTGGAAGCCGGAGTTGCGCCACGGGAATAAATAGTATACAAAATCCGAAGTGAATATGCACACGTGCTTCCTTTCACTATTTTTGCACACAACATTCTCTGAAACTCGCATACACAACCGTGGGAACCAGTTTATGAAAATGTGAAACGTTTTCTTCTCAGCGTGCGCTCTTTCATAGCAAAAACGAGGATATATAATGGGTGAACAATCACACAAATTACTATACTTGTAGTGACTATCTAGAAGCCGCTGACGATAAATCGTGCAAGAGAGAACACGGGATACCTCGCAAGATACAGAGATGTCCAACCACTCTATATCTATCTATCTATCTATCTATCTATCTATCTATCTATCTATCTATCTATCTATCTATCTATCTATCTATCTATCTATCTATCTATCTATCTATCTATAAGCGTCATATCATCTCCAACAATATAGAGTTGCCTTGGGAACAACAGGTGCGTGTTGACAGAGAATGTCTATTGCGTTGTTTTGGCGTTATACAACTGTACGACAATGCCGTAGAGCTACTCAGACAATGAAGATCACTTGTCACGTGGGATGTTCCCGGACGGAACTTCTATCCGCTCGATTTCAGAGGGAAACTGACGTTTTGGAAAAGCTTTTGTAGTAATTGCTCTTTGTACTAAGTTCATACTTTACAACAAAACAGTTGGTATGTCGCCTTTGTGTTTCAGGCATTGGTTGGTTTCTTGCACTGTGAGTGTTTTGCCTACGTACAGAGCATTTTGAAGAACAAAATTAGACTTCATGATCAGGACAAAGTGTGAGTCATACCCAGTAGAGGTTATAGTTCTTTTGATGGATCGCAGAAGTGCACGAGAAATTTCCCGAGAGGTCGAATCAACCTTCCAACCAATAAACTTGATCACCATATCTTCAACGAATGATCACACTTTTGAGGACATTTGAGGAACTAGATAGGAACAAGCTCAGTATTCTGGTTCGTTAGAATTTCTATATGGTTCCCTGCACGCATAGACTCCCGGCCTACACTTTTACCTAGTTCATCGTCTCCAAGCAAAAGAAGATTAGGGAGAATAAGCTTGAGATTCCTTTGAACCCATCTTCTGAGTCCTCAGGCCATTCAGAATGTGCATTCACAACTTTTTCTCAACTTTGGCGGCTGAATTTATCCGTGGTAGTCATGAGAACAAAGAAGGTAGCGAACAAAGCTTGTTTTCTGTGATTGCTTCTCTTGGCTAATAAATCACAAAGCGATATGACACGTGAAGAAATCTAAAAATTGGAGTACATACACTCTAGAAAAATAGAAATCAAACAAATGACGGTTGAATGAGCGTTTGGTCAATGGGTCACTGAATCAGGTAAGTAAAGTCAATGTCAGACAGGTTTGTGGGACCGGATGCTACGTGGGCCATTTCAAGTTCAGAGGTCGCACAGGTTTCTTTCGGAAGCAAAGTTTCGGATCCA